CATCCTCGGTCCCCGGGAGCGGACCGGGGACAAGGATGGGCAGGGTACCAGCATCCCCCGGGCTCTGGGGGCGGACCGGGGACTGGGATGGGCAAGGCACCGGGAACTCAGTACGGTCCCGTTTCCCCTCGCAGCGGCCGCACGCAACCACGCTGCTCCGGGCGCCGGCCCGCGCAGTCCTAAGGATGAGGCGGGGGCAAGGGAAGCGAAAGGCCGAGGCCACGGAGCTGCCACGCGTGTCTCGGAGGAAGGAGGAAGAGGAGGCTGGGCAGGAGGCCCGGCGGAGGGCGGCCCCATCCGTGCGGGAGTTTAAGTACAACAAAAAGCGGGTTCGCCTCGTCTCACAGGGCTCGGACCTGAAGGATGATGCTCGGTGCATCCTTTACTGGATGTCCCGGGACCAGCGGGTGCAAGGTGCGAACCAGCTGGTGGAGGGGGCCGGGAAACGGAGCTCCCACGGGTGGCAAAAGCCTTGGTCACTTCCCACGGTAGCCGCTGGAGCTGGTCCCCCCTCTGCAGGGGGGACTGGGGGGAATTCCTCTTGCAAAATGCCGTCTCCATCCCCTCAGCAGGGCGTCCCCCCGACACTGACCTGTGTGCTTTCTCCCCAGATAACTGGGCTTTCCTCTACGCCCAGCGCCTGGCCCTCAAACAGGAGCTACCTCTGCATGTCTGCTTCTGCCTGGTGCCCAAATTCCTGGATGCCACCATCCGCCATTACGGCTTCATGCTGAAGGGCCTGCAGGAGGTGGCCAAGGTACGGCCGCTGCAGGGATGTCCACGCTGGGTGGGACAGGGCAGGGACAGGGCTTCTGGGGAAGGGGGAGGCAGATCCATATCCCTTCAGGATGGTGGTGGGATGGGGTCTGCAGAGGCATCCTATAGCCCTTTCCCCCTCGCTGCAGGAGAGTACAGAGCTGAACATCCCCTTCCACTTGCTGCTGGGCTATGCCAAGGACTTGCTGCCCACGTTTGTCCCCCCTCTGCAGGGGGGACTGGGGGGAATTCCTCTTGCAAAATGCCGTCTCCATCCCCTCAGCAGGGCGTCCCCCCGACACTGACCTGTGTGCTTTCTCCCCAGATAACTGGGCTTTCCTCTACGCCCAGCGCCTGGCCCTCAAACAGGAGCTACCTCTGCATGTCTGCTTCTGCCTGGTGCCCAAATTCCTGGATGCCACCATCCGCCATTACGGCTTCATGCTGAAGGGCCTGCAGGAGGTGGCCAAGGTACGGCTGCTGCAGGGATGTCCACGCTGGGTGGGACAGGGCAGGGACAGGGCTTCTGGGGAAGGGGGAGGCAGATCCATCCCTTCAGCGGATGGTGGTGGGATGGGGTCTGCAGAGGCATCCTATAGCCCTTTCCCCCTCGCTGCAGGAGTGTACAGAGCTGAACATCCCCTTCCACTTGCTGCTGGGCTATGCCAAGGACGTGCTGCCCACGTTTGTGGTGGAGCATGGCGTGGGCGGGCTGGTGACAGATTTCTGCCCCCTCCACCTCCCCCGGCAGTGGGTGGAGGACGTCAGGGAGCGGTTGCCGGAGGATGTGCCGTTTGCACAGGTGGGTGCCTGTGCTCTGGGAAGGGAAAACTCTGGCTGGTGAGACGTGGGAGAAATGTCTCCTGCGTTTCGTGCCTGCAGAGGTGCACTGGAGTGACCTGAGCAGGGAGCATGTGTGTCATGTCATCGGGACCGTTTGCTTCTCCCGCTCACACCCTCCTCCGTGGCTTTGCTTCCCAGGTTGATGCCCACAACATCGTGCCCTGCTGGGTCACCTCCCCCAAGCAGGAGTACAGCGCCAGGACCATCCGGGGCAAGATCCACGCTCAGCTCCCCGAGTTCCTCACCGAGTTCCCCCCCATCATTCGCCACCCATATCCCCCCTCCTGCCCGGCAGAGGTACCAGCAGGAGACACCTCTACACCCACTCGCAGACAGTCCCAGAGAGTTTCACAGCTGCTTCATGATCCTGGGAGGGGATGGCAGGGGATGGGAACAGTGACCTGCCTGAGGTCATGTGCAGGCGGTGCGGAGATGGGAATGCCCTGGAGAAGGGAGGTTCCCACCTCATTCGTTCAATTCCCACATCCCTGCCATGCAGGGCTGGTTAAGAGGAGAAGGCTGGCATGAGCTGGGGACTTGCTGGTTGGGGACATCCAGGGGACATAACACTCAGGGCAGCCCTGACTGAAGACCATCTGCAAATGCACTCATGCTGCTTGGTTGCCACCCAGCCCATTGCTTGGGAGGCGTGTTACTCCAGCTTGCAGGTGGACCGCACCGTGGAAGAGGTGGAGTGGGCGACCCCCGGCACGGCTGCAGGGCTGGCTGTGCTGCAGTCCTTCATCGCAGAGCGGCTGAAATCCTTCGGTTCCCACCGGAACGATCCCAACAAGGCAGCGCTCAGCAACCTGTCCCCGTGGTTCCACTTCGGTGAGCATCCCAGGCTTCTCACTCTGCAGCAGGACTGAGCACCATGGCTTGGACCAGCAGCCTGACTTGTTCCCTCCCCATGTCCCCAGGCCAGGTTTCCACCCAACGAGCCATCCTGGAGGTGCAGAAGCACCGGGGCAAGTACAAGGAGTCAGTGGACGCATTTGTGGAGGAGGCCGTGGTGCGGCGGGAGCTGGCTGAAAACTTTTGCTACTACAATGAGAACTACAACAGCGTGCAAGGTAGCATCCCGGGTTGGGTGGGCAATGCTGGGGGCCGGGCTGGTACCCAACTGGTCATCCCAATTTGGCAATCCCATTTCTGTTAGGGGAGGGGCTGTGGGAGCACCAATGTGCCATCATTCGGTACCTTCTGGAGGTAGGACAGGAGCTGGCAGATGCCCTCTTCAAGGCTGGTGCCTCCAGGGCACGGTGCCCTCAGTAGCCCAATTCTCCTTCCCTTCCTCGGGGCCCTGCAGGAGTGGGTTGCTCAACGTTGGTTGTCATCTCTCTTGCTCGCAGGTGCCTACAACTGGGCACAAACCACTCTGAAGCTCCACGCCAAAGACAAGAGGCCTTTTCTCTACGAGCTGCAGGAGCTGGAGCAGGGGACCACGCATGACCCACTCTGGAACGCTGCCCAGGTAATGCCCTGCATCTCCTCTGCAAAATGCTAGGCCTTTTCCCAAGGGGCAGAGGCAAGCTGGCACGGACTGACCCCTGCGGCTGTCCCTGTCCCCCCAGCTCCAAATGGTCCAGGACGGCAAGATGCATGGCTTCCTGCGGATGTACTGGGCCAAGAAGATCCTGGAGTGGACCCGCTCCCCCGAGGAAGCCCTGCGGTTTGCCATCTACCTCAACGACCGCTACGAGCTGGATGGGAGGGACCCCAACGGATACGTAGGCAAGCTGCAGGATGGGGGCACAGGGTGGAGGGTCTTTGATGGCCAAGGCTGCGGTGGGACGGGGAGGGCTCTCTGCAGACAACCCAGCCCACGCTCCAGCCTGTCCTGCTTTGCACCCACATCCCACCTCCTCTCTCCAGATGCCTCCGAGCAAGGGGGAGAGCTGACGCTCTGTCCCCATGCTCGGCAGGCTGCCTCTGGTCCATCTGCGGCATACACGACCAGGGCTGGGCAGAGCGGGCCATCTTCGGGAAGATCCGCTACATGAACTACGCCGGCTGCAAGCGCAAGTTCGACGTGGGCCAGTTTGAGCGTCGCTACGCCCCCCACATGCTCTCCCAGTGATGGGCACAGCACGCCTTGAGATTGCTCATGCCCCTCTATGCTGGGGGCAGATGTGCCTTTGCCAAGGTGCCAGCTCGCACCTTACACCCCGGCCAGGGATCGCCCCGGGTGCTGTTGGAGTGCTCACTGTAACAACAGCAAGCCCCAGGGTTTTGCAGGTCCCTTTTCTCTGCCATCACCCCCTGCTCCAGCTCCTGCTAGAGCCCCACGGGGCCATGCAGGGCCCTCCTGCTGCCATGAGTTTGCTGGCGGCTGCGAGAGCCCATCCTCAGCGTGCCCATGCCTGCCAGAAACCTTTTCTACAACCACTGTGCTCAGGACTAAACCCAAGTCACTGTTGCTGCTGCTAACCACAGCTTAGATTTAGGCTGAGCAGGGCTTTTCTGGGGAAAAGCCCCCAGAAACTGGCTCCTCATGCCGTGCTGCCCACAGGGAAGCCCTGCTTCGCTCCATGCGGAGCCAACGCTGTGCAGAGCTTACACACGCATGCTTCAACAGTTGTTTTGAAGTTTACAGTTTGTATCTCCTGTGTCTATGGTGTTTATGGGGCGATGCATGACACTGCTGCAAGGGGAGAGCCGGGCTGCATGGGACAGGGATGCAAGCAGGGACGGGGCAGCCAAGGCGATGCCCCTGGGGCCCTCTGCCAGCAGTAAAGGCAGGCTCAGGAAGGAGACAGACATTACAGAGAGCCCCTTACTCAGTGACTTGTACCTCCTGCCCCGAGTCCAGTGGGCAGTTTGCAGGGGGACGCCACAAACCAGACGGATTAGTCAAGGGGTGGTGACAATAACCCCGTCCCAGTGACATCTGGCTATGCATCACCAGTTGCACAAGTTGTCCCCCCACTGTCCCGTGCCATCAGCTGGCGCATCCCACTCCCTCCCTGCCCCAGGGGCCAACAGGTACTGCAGCACTGACCCCGAGGGGGGGACACCCACTGTTAACCCACCTGAAACGATGCCACAACACAACCAGGCCCCTTATTAACTTAGTTTATTAGGGACGGCATTTTCATTGCTATGCTGTGCAACAGTCCTGTGGGGAGGGCTCCAGTTGATGGCCAGGGCAGCCCCTCGCTCTCCCTTAAAAAGAGCTCACTGCCTTGGCCAGTTCCAGTGTTCCTCGTAGCGGTCAGTGCTGGGCAGCAGTGTCAGTGCTGGGCACAATCCTGCCCTGGAGACCTCTGCCAGGTTTGCGAGTCCCACTGCTTCCAGACATAGTCCATGGTGGAGGGTGGAAACCACAAATAAGCAAAAATCCCTTGCCTCTTCTCTAACTGTACTCAGTGCTTCTAGAAAGGGACACAGGCAGCCTCTCAGCTGCTGTCCCAGGACATTAAAGTGCTTCAAACAAAACAGGGTGGATGGAGGTGTGCTGCTGAGGCAGCTCCAGGGAAGGGGGTGCCAGCTCCAGGCAGTAGCGGGAGGGCTTGGCTTGGGGTTGGGGACAGGCAAGGCCAAGGCGGACCAGCGTCTGGCAGCCCCAGGGCTTGCAGAGATGGAGAGTGAGCGGGCGAGCAGCTGCTCCCCTGGGGAAAACAAGCAGAAACAAGACGGGAGGAGGCAAAAACCCTAGGGGAGCGAGTGGGGAGCTGAATCCCCTTTCCCAGGCTAGACCTGGCTTTGTCAGGACGCTACAGAGCAGGGGAGAGATGCTGCCATGCAGCAGCCTAGCTCCCAGCAGCAAGGCTTGCAGCCACCCTCCCTGACCAAGACCTGTGGCCACCTCTCCTGGTCCCAGCCTCTCCCCCAGCTCCGACCCTGCCACCCGTGCAGGGACAGCCCACGAGCAGTCACATCCCAGACCAAGCCAGGGCACGCGCTGCAAGAGCCATTGCCCCTAGATGCCTTCTGCCAGTGTATTGCTCCCCAGTCCCTCAACACCCTTCTCGCACATACACAGGCCACACCCTCCTTCCAAACACCCCACTGCCACCCCACATCCCACCCATGCTAAGGTGGTGCTGCACACTCACCCATGCCATGGGCTAAAGCATACCCCTGTGATGCAGAGGCACCTCCTCGACTGACCGCTAGCCCCAGGAGGGCAGAGCTCACCTTGTACCACCGGGTCCGACCCCGCGGAGCCATCGGTTGTGGCAGGCAGCTCTGCATCAGCGAGGGACCAACCCTTTGCAGCACCCCAGTGCCAAACCCCTCTCCCCCGTGCACCCCCCATTGCAAGCAGGCTGCCTGGCCACCCCACTGCTGCGCAGCCAGGAAGCCTCGAGGCTTTGCCTGGCCTAGGGACCCCTCTCCCAGGGGGAGCAGGAGACCTGCTGGGAGAGAGGACACCTGGCAAACATCAGCCCCATCCAGGGGTGAGGAACCAGGAGCAGGACAGCCCTGGAGGTTTTATACCGGTGAGTCCCAAGCAGATCGCATGTCCCCTAAAGAGGCATTTCAAGCAGCACCTCCTTGGGGGGGGAACACACAGTTAAAAATACAAACAATCACATTAAAAAAATAAAACCAAATCCAGCAGATTAAAAAACAAAAACCCAACCTAAAAGAACAAACCGAGACAGAGGCTCAGGGGATGCGGCCAGAGGGCTGAGCCTTCACCCACATCCCAACAGGTCTCGGGCAGAAGGCAGCTGCACGGAAGGCAGGTGCTGGTGCCACCAGAGTGAGGTCCCACGTCACCCTCAGAGGAGGACATGTCCCCCCAGGAGGACAGCCTGGCAGCATGAGGAGGAAGCGGGGTTGGAAGCCTCACTTACTGCATTCTCTGGCCACGGGGATCTGCCTCTGCTGAAAGCCCGGCAGCACCGGTCCCTTTATGCTGCTGCTCTGGGGGCAGTGCCCCTCTGCGGGTGGAGGGCAGGGAAAGCAGCTCAGCATAGATGGCGCGGAGAGGCAAGGCAGAAATCTGGCATTTTCACCACTGCCACCTCCTCTGCTCTGATCCTGGTGTGAGAGCAACTGTTCTCCAGCAGTGTCCCAAGCCAGAATTGAGAAAGGGAGCTGTTAAACGTACAACCAACCCCAAACCCCCACCCTCCCTCCATGCACACAACCCCCAGCAGCAGAACAGGGGATCAGAGGACTCGGAGAGCTGATTCCCCCACTCCAAGGAGCAGACGTGGCCAGAGCTTCCTAGTATACAGCTGATGAGCAGAAAGTGCTGACCCCCCAAGGGACCCTGTCAGGGAGCAGGGCACGGGGACTGGCAGCACAGCCCTGCCTGGTCCAGCATGAACAACTGCTTCGAAAAGGTCCCTGTTCTGCCTGCAGGACAGGCAGGAGCAGCCACCTTTCCCCAAACAAAGGCATTGGGGAGTGCGAGCGGTACCTGGAGCAGACCTGGACAATGGAAGATGCCCCTTCCCCAGCCCAGCACTACGGCATGGGGGAAAACAGATCCCTCCAAGACAGCGCTCCAGGCCTCCTGACAGTCCTCATCTCCAGTCCGCATGGCTCAGTCTCTGGTGACGAAGGCCACGCACATAAATAAACCCATGATCTGCTTCTCTGCTGCAACATGCTCATGTGGCTGCCACTGCCTCCGGCTGCTCCAGCTCGTCTTCATAGTCCGAGACGTAGGACTCCATGCTCTGCTTGGCCAGCAGCTCTCTCCGGGCTTGAAGCCGCTCACAGCGGGGACAGCGGGTGGATTTGAAGCAGGATTTGTGGTAGCAGGCTTTGCACTCTGCAGGGAAGAGCATGGCTGAGAGCTGGCAGAGGCTGACACAGACTGCCTGATGCTCCACACCCCAGGGAGGGATGCTCCAGGCTTGTCCAGGAGGACATTTCAAACCAAAGCCAAGGCAGAACAAGGACCAGAAGCAGGGGTCCAGCACTGTTTTGGAAGCAGCAAGAAGTCACGCTGCAGGGTCCCTGCAACTGGCTTGCAAAGCCTTTGGGAGCACAGGTGGGAGGTTTCCTGCTCTGCACAAGGTCCCTCCCCAAACTTTCCTGATTCTCCAAGGAAACAGTGACTCTGCCCCAAGTTTTCTCTGGCACTGCACCTGCCAAACCAAGACTTACATGTTGTCAGGAGCCATTTCAAGCCAGTTCAGTGGTTGGAACCAAGCTGCAGGGACAAGGTTTGCTTGGCCATTAGTACTGGGCATTATCGAGGATGACTCCTTTAGGGGCCTGGGGATTTCTTGGCAGGCAGGAAGGGCACAGAGACAAAGCCTTCAGGCTCCCTCTGCTTTACAAGATTAGCTCCAGCCATCCAAGCAGGGGCAAGAGAGCTGCGTGCAGGCTGCAGCCTGTCCCGTAACCACAGCAGAAGGGAAGCCAGGGCTCCCAGACACCCGCTCGCTGCAGTCACAACCCAACTGCCCACTGCCACAGGGGCAGGCAGAACACAGCGTGGTCAGGAAGGGACCTACACGCTCCACCACGCCAGCAGCTCTGGCCAGACACCATTATAATGTTGATCTGCTGCTGTGATAATGTGGTGCAGAGACACAGGCCATGCACAGAGGCACTCTGGTCTGGCTGGCTCTGGCTCTGTACCTCTCGCTAGCACAAATGCCACTCAAACAGGAGGCAGACCTTGGTGGCCCCAGGGTCTGTCCCCTCCATTTCTCTCCAGCCTCTCACCTTCACATGTCCTGCACTTGTTGAGCTCAAAGGGGAAGATGATGTCGCCCTCATTCTGGCAGAACTCGCAGATGAAGCCTTTGGCTTGGCACAGCTGGAAGGAGAAAAGGTGAGGAAAAAGCAGCTAAATGCTCCTCATCTCCCTGGCAAGCAGGGCAGGAGGTAGAGCAGAGCAGGACAGCAGGACACGGTGCCCTGCTCTAACCATGTGGGACAGTCCTTCCCCAGCATGGAGCACAGCAAGGCAGAATCAACATGTGCCAGGGGTGTGGGAGCGCCAAAATGGGGTAATAAACATCCCATACGTGCTGGGTAGGAGCTCTGTGGAGCAGGCAGGAGCAGACAGCATTGAATCAGTTAATTTGGTGGCTGCCCTGCACGTCAAATGCCTCCCCATCGGTTATCTTTGCAGCAAAGCCTGCTCCCAAGGGTGGTCCCGAGGGTGCAGAGCCATGCAGGAGGCAGGCGAGGAGGCCTTACCATGCACTTCTCAACATGCAGGCTGCCTGCCTTCAGGAGCTCCGTCAGGCGAGGCACCAGGTCCCCTTTCTTTGTGGCGCTGAGGTCGCTCAGCGAGTAGAGGTGCAAATCTTCCGTCAAGTGGCCAGGCACTGCATCGAAGGAGTCTAAGAGGCTGCAAGGACAGAGAAACCAGAGCTCAGAGCAAAGCAACTCCACTAAGCTCCCTCTCTCTACTGCCTCTGCTTTCTCTCCCCCTCCACTCCCCTCTCCCCCTGTTGCCCATTGCACTGGCTGCACAGATGCCCAGTGCAAATTGCCATGGGACAGATCCAGGACAGCAAAACAGCTTCATCTCACAGCCCGGGACTCACTCTTTAGCTAGCCGGCACGTCTTAAACATGTTCTTCATGTGGAAAAGCTGGATCCGCAGCAGCTGGAGAGGAAGGGGTGACACAAGAATCAGTAAACAGAGCATGGTCCTTGGCCAAGCAGGCCTGCCCCGTTTCCTGCACTGATGAAACGACCGCTGCTCCTCAGCCACTGCTCCCCTGCTACCGAAGTGTTTCCACCACACAGGGCAAAGCGAGCACAACCATCATCACATGCTCCAAGAGATAAACCAAAGCCCAGCTGGGCACCAGGCAGAAATTCCTTTTGAAATTCCTACGTTACTGGACAAAGAACAAGAGGTGAATGGAAACCCACGGTGCTGAGGTTTTAAGCCTCAAAAACTGAAATATCCGCTTCTCCCCAGCTTCCCTGGAATATGGTTTACAATTGGCAGCCACCCACCTCACCCAAACCCCACTCAGGAAGGCGTGGAAAGGGTCTTACCCACACTTGGTTGAGAGACTTCACTTTCCGGTACAGGGCAGGATTGATATCCTGCACATCGAAGAGTGGGTCACTCCAGATCTTGCTCAGCAGATCTTTGGAGAAGTTGCTCACATAGTACTTGCTGAAGTCCCACTTGCGCAGGATGCGGCTGGGGATGACCGTCTGGGCATTCTCATGGCAGCACTGGCAGAAATACTTCCCCAGGTACTCACAGTACCGCAGCCGCTTGATGTAATCTGGCCAAACCCAGGCAGACAGGGAAGTCAGACGAGGCACAGGCTCTGCCCAACCACTTACTGGACTCCCAACGTTGCTCAGCATTTCCAACAAGCAAGGCAGTCTGCCTTGCCCATACCTCCTCCAGCCCCAGAGTGCTCAATACTGGGGTCTGCAAGCACCCCTGCCAACTGCAAAAGCATTTGGGACCACAGTCCAGTCTCATGCAGCCACATCTACCTACACATTCAGGAAACACAGCTGGTCAAAGAGCTCTGCAGCTGTACCCACAGCAGAACCTGCTGGGAGCTTTAGGACCCCAATAGATGCCTTTGCCTTAGAAGAGTCAACATCTGAAATGCCCTCCAAAGGACAGGCTGGCTGCTCTTTGCCTTCACCAGCCCCATGACCTTCTGGAGAAGGAGGCTCCTCTGTGGTTGGTGCACACCAATGTGCAGGCAGAGCTGGCAAAGGCAGTGTACCATTTCCCCAGTGACCTTGTGCTGAGCTGTGACACCACCCACCCACTCTGAGTCTTCCCACTTGTTCACAGGTTCTTTCCCACTCTCCAGCTATGGGTCAGGGTCCCACCACTCACCAGGATCAGTCCGGATGCCACAGCCCGCACACCGGTAATTCTGCTTGGCCACGGCCACCTTCCTCCTGCCCAGAGACAGAAGACAACATGCATGAGTCCAGCCCTGACGGCACCTGGCACCAGAGGATGGGCACTGGCACAGGTCTGGATGGCAGAGATGGCCACATGCTTTGCCACTTAAGTGTGGACAACAAATCCAAGGGGAAAAGCCCTGTTGTGCCCTGGTGCACAACAAAGGCACCGACCGCAGGCACTGGCTCCATCTCACAGCACCAGCTGCCGGTGGTAACCACCGTGGATTTACCAGGCTCAGAGCAGGGAAGCCCTGGCGGTCAAGCAGGAAGGAGAGGATAATCAACCTTGATGTTGATGGAAAAGGGTTGGAAAGGGCAGGTTCCCAGAGAGCCCTCGGCTGCGCCAAGTCCTTACGTTGGGGCTGGGTGAACATTGAAGATGATCTGTGGTCGCGGTGGGGCCCACTCCAGGTTTCCGCGCACCCGAATCCTCAGCTTGTAGATGTCGGCATGTTCTCCATCATCAGGAGAGATGGGCAGAGAGTCGGGGATGGGCAGGAGCTGGGAGAGGTAGGCGAGAGGGTCAGATCCCTGCCTGGTACCGCAAAGGCAATGCACCTGCAACTGCAGCCCTCTGGAAAACTGCCAGGCACTGAGCTGCTGCTCCAGCTGAATGGGGGCTGGAGAAGGGATGTCCCCAGGGATCCGGGCACTCTGCTGTAGGAGGCTGCGGTGGCAGAGCCCCGCTCGGCTGCACCCATCTCTGGAGCCCGGACAAAACCCCTCCTCCAGCTCCACAAAGGGATCACCAGGACTAGCAAAGCCCCTCGGCAGTGGGCTGAAGCCAGGGGTTCGGGGAAGATCAAATGCAATCGGTGACCGGGGACCCACAACCCTACCTTCTGCGGGGCGTCGTGCTCAGGGACCAGCCACTCCAATTCAGAGGCGGCCGGGAGCTGCATGCCCTCAAACTGCTTCAGCAAGCCCATGGCCACGGCCTCTGCCGAGTTGGAATTGAGGAAGGAGTGGGATCTAGACAGCGAAGGGAGTGGTTAGTACCAGATCTCACAGCTGTGCCCTCCTCACAACCCCTGCTGCCAGTCCCAGCTCAAGCTGAAGATGCTCCCTTCAACTCTGGTACCTTATTTCTGCACTGCTACACAACTACAAAAACAACTACACTACTCAACAAAACCTGTGCCTGTTTGCAGGGGAAGCTGCAAAATGAGAGCCAATGTCTGTACGAGCCAGAAGTAACTGCTCTCCCAGTACGAACCTACCCAAGAAGCTGCCAAGCACAGACATAGCTTTGTATCTCACCCAACAAGCAGAGGGGTCCCTGCATCCCAAAGGGGTTTTGCTTTCAGAGCATTAACATAGCAGCTGTGCTTAAAACAGGTTGTGATTCACCTCCCCACAGCCCCCACCTCTCCACCCCAGGGCAGTGCAGGGAAAGGACCGAGCACTTTACATTTAAGCTGCTGCTGCACTGCACAGAGAGTTTGTGAGCATCGCTGTGTGCCAGTGGTTCCACCTCTGGGTCACAGCACAGCAGCGAGGGTTGGAGAGAAGGTGGCAGCACCAGGTAGTCTAACAGGCTGTCCCAGCTGAGAGAGGGGAGGCAGGGGAGGCTCAGCCCGAGGTGCCAGTCCAGATGCTCCAGTTTGTGCCAGGTCCTCTCCCCAGCCTCTTACCTACTAGGAGGTATGGGTATCTCTCCTGACACCAGTCCATATCATATCTACCTCATGTGAATATCCTGATCATCCCAGGTGCTGCTTCCCAAATTTAAGACTAGGACCCAGTGCCCCACTGCTAAACAAAGGGATGGAGGGAGGGATATCCACTCCAGTGCAAAGCAGCAGCTGATGCACATGGAAGAGCAGAGTTGGGCGGGAAGAGGAACCTGGTACCAAGATGTCTCATCACGAGTAGAAGACGTACATGGACTCTGAGGAGAGAAAGGACTTCCTGCTGGAATCTGGGTTCCTCTTGATGTCTGCATCTGAATCACAAACAGACAAGGTGGAGCAGATGGGGCAGGGCAAGGGGGTACACTCATTTCAAACCAAAGCTTCACTGTAAAACTCATCAAGCTGTTCAATAGCACATGAACTACAGCATCAACTTCTACCAGTGGCACTGAGCAGCAAGGAGAGGTGCAGTCTAATCAGTCACCTGTCGGAGTTACAAGGGAAGGACATGGTGGGATGCTGTGAAAACAGTGAGCCTGGGGTTTGGGGAAGACAGGTGGCTGCTGGTACAGGTCACACACCAAGTCCTAGCAGTGACATGGCCTGAAACAGTACGCACACAGGAGCTAGGAGGGCAGGACAGAAAGGTTAGCAAGAAGGTTTAGTAGCTCTCTACACACAGTATAAATGCTGCAGGGGATTAGCAATGGGATGCAGAGCCCTTCTCTCTACTTGACCGCAACCTGTAAGATCAGACGGTGGCCATGCCACGGCTTGTCAGCGACTGCACAGCTGGGGCTGGCAGCCTAAGCCCAGCACTCCAGAGACACGTCAGCATCCATGCAGAGAGCGGGCCAGCAGCCATGGGGGCCAGCCCTCTGCAGAGGCCACAGACCCATCTCCCGAGGAGGGAGGGGTCCGAGATAAGGTGCAGGACACTGGGGTCCTGCTCGCTCCACCCCTCCATAAGCTCCCCAACAGCCCTGGGCTGCCCCCGCATCCCTCCCCAGTGCCAGCCTCGGGTACCAGGCAGTACCCAGCGGTACCTTCATCACTCATCTTTCTTTCACTCCAGCAGGTTAAACCCTGAGAGGGAATTCATCTCAACGGTGGAAGGACCCTGGGACAAGACCCTGGGACTCTTCCAGCAGTACAAGGCAGGCAGAAGCAGGCAGAAACCCTGCTTCATTGCAGACAGACTCCCAGAAAAGGGAAGGAGGGCATGCAAGGGGAACGTACTACAGGTCAGGACAGAAGAGAGGCCAACGCCACAACCTTCAGCCCAGCAGGTCGCCTGTTTTGTACCTCTGGGGAGCTCTAGGAACGGGGTCTGCAGTGACCACACCACCCCCAAACACAGGCTTGCAGCTCCCCCCGATCCAGTGTCCCAGTGCCTGGCTAGGGGAGGCACATCTCGGGGTCTCTGCTTCTCCACCCCAAGCAGGTCAGCTACGTGGACCCACACAGAGCCCATCCAATCCCGGCCAGGCACCAACCGCACACTGAGGCCAAGGGAATCACAGCCTGGCTGAGCGAAGAGTGCCACCCCCCAAGCCCCCTAGGAAGAGCAGGGCTGCCCTGGCAGCAAAGGGAGCAAGTCCCAGTCCTGCACGTAAATTTAGACTCACACTAGTGGAGTTCAGCATGGATGCTTGACCCTCCTCGTTTGACATCCATTGCTAGAAACAGGCACAGGAAAGCATCCTAATGCTAAGGAATCCGCATATCTACATCATGCAAACAGACTTCTAGCTGCAGAAAACAGGGAATTCAGTCAAACATAGCCTCCCGGCCATGTAGGGCACTGGCCAGACATACCTGCCATGCTCTGGTGCCTTCGGCTCTGCGCAGGAAGGTGCCGCATGGTCCTAGACTACGATGAACATGAGCAAACAGCAGGGCACACGCAGCACGGTGTGGGCCAAGTGTTATGGGAAGGCAGAGCCGGCACACTCAGGCACTGGCATCGTCTCAGGGATGGCAGAGGGAGCCAAATCTGACCCTAGGCTCCTGTGGGGGCTAGCACTGGGATCCTGCCACCGCTCACTTCCCAACCTTAACTGCAGCCACTCCCCAAAAGCCTCCAGTTAACTGCCCAAAACGCCTCTGCTGCCAATGCTATCACCAGGTGGGGTAGTCCCCAGGAGGCTTGTGAACAGCCCCCAAACCCAAGGACATCACCCCAGCCCCCATATGCCAGCTTCAGGCCAGGATGAGCCCCCCTGGATTAAACCCCTGGGCTGTAAACACAGGACACAGCAGGGCTGACGGGGAAGCTCTGAGCACCAAGCATCTCCGGCAGGAGCAATGCGCTGGCGCCGAACACCTGACAGGAGAGATCAGCAGCAGCCCACGTAGGCTGTTCCCTTGCTAAAGCAAACCTGGAGCACATGAAGGTTATTTAAACGCGGCCAGCAGACTGGAAGGATTATCTAGTAGTACTGTAAACAATAAAAACACTAAGCAAAACCTGGCTGCATGTGATCCCGGTGCCCAGGGCCTCCAGCGTGAACAAACTGCCTGTGCCCTGTCTGCTCTCACTACTTCTCTCTCCAGGACTTCTTTCTGGAAGGATTCTTCTCCAAGTCAAGTCTGAGCAGGATGGGAAGGGTTGGCCGTGGTTCAGATCAGAGCTGCGGCATGCCAGCTCTGCCAAGTCAAGCAAGATAACGCTCCCCAAGGCACCTGGGATGGAGACCCGGTCCCACACTGTACAGGACTCTGCTCTCATCCAGCCCAGGCTCAGCCTTCAGCAGATACAGAGGCACAAAGCTGTGCCGTCGCCCTGCCAAGCCCTACGCCAGACAACACAGGTCTTCACCACAGTGAAGGTATATCCAAAATACTGCATGGCAAAACACCCTGGCTGATGGAGGCCATGGCAGAGCTCCTCTGCCTCCTCTCTGCTCCGTCCTGCCACATCATCCTGCAATGGCTTTTCTTGCTGACGTCTGGATGATGCTGTTCACAGTTCCCAAATCAGGCAGATTTCTGAGAAGTGTGCACGTGCACACACACACACATCTTCCACACACACGCACGCGTGCCGCAGGGGAGCACTGCAGGGTACTACCTGAGAACAAGGAAGCCATTGACACTGAGAGGCCGTTCTTGGACATTTGAATCAGGTTAGATCCATCGTTACCATCTGTATAACACGGTGATGACAAAACAGTTGACTTCAGTGCTTTGGCCAGGCCAAAGAGAAAGGGCATAATACAAGAGCAGCACTCGCACAAGAGAAGCCCAGAACTGAATTCACACACCCCTCTGTGGGCTTCAAAACTGAGCACAAAATCTAGCCCTCAGGGACTGAAAGGAGGATTTGCTGTCAACAGTCAAGAGACGAGAAGTATATAGCTGGAGACTGGACTGCTCCATCTTCTTTTTAAAGTCAGTGAGATGGAGCTACTGTTGAGAAGTAAGTCATCCACCTCAAGAGGATGAACAAGGCTCTGAAGGAAAGGGACACCCAGGGACCCAGACAGGTCTCCTGTGGGCGATAAGCTCAGCCACCCAAGCTGCCAGGAGCAGAGACTACAGGTATTACAGGTCAGGATGTGACCAGCGCCCACCACTGCTACCCAAGAGGTAAGTGGTCAGAGCTATGGCTCCTTCTGCCCGGGGAGGAGAGCAGGATGGCGGCTCTCCCACCTCTCTCTAGCTGTGACAGCTGCTATGTGGACCAGGCAATGAAATGGAAACCACCTACCAGCCAGAGGCACTGAATGCTAGAGGATTACAGAGGATTTTGAAGGAAAGTCATGCCATCACATGAAGGAAACTGGTTGCTCTGCTCATGCTCAGAATTCAGCCATTTGTTTGGGAAAAGCCATCCTGAAGGCCAGAGGGACATGCTCTTCTTCAGCAGGACTGACCTCAACACAACCACACCAAGGAGAAGTCTGTCTCTATGCAAGAAGCCAATAGAGCCATTCCCTCCTACCTCGGATCTCGTACTCTTCCACATCGGAGCCGGAGTCAGAGAGCCGCATGGAGCCATGGGAGCTGAACTGGGACCCACTGTCTGTTGCCACAAGACCTGGGAGAAATGCAACACAGCCAGGCCATCAGTGGAAGTGGTCTGAAGGGTCACTGACAGCTAAGGGAGAAGTTGATAGCCAGGTATGGCCACAGCAGGGAGGGATGGAGGTCAAGGATGGAAAACACTATGGGTTCAAAATGAAATTACATTCCATAACTCAGCGCCAGCAGCGCACAAGTCTTATCAATGTACAGTATCAGTCCCATTACGGTCTTTAATAGCAGCAGAGTTTCACAAATCTCTGCAGCACCTTGGTAGCAATATGATTGTTTCCCACGAACGGGCAGGAAGGCCAAGGACAGGCAACAGACAGAAAACCCACATCCCACTAGCTGATTAGGCCAAAACACATCACCCACTGTCTGAGCCCATCTCCTGGCAGGTAGGAAACAGGTGTCTGGTGCGGATCTGCTGGCGCCGAATGCGAATCTTTTGTTTAAGCTCCTGGATCTCCTTGTCACTGTCTTCCTCCTCCTCCTCCAGCTGCCGGCTCATCATGTTGCATTTCATCAGCTCTATGGCAGCGATCAGGGACTCTGAGATGCTGAAGTGGGCATTCTCCTGCAAGGCAAGAGCAAAAGCATTCAAGGCTGTACTATGGAGAAACTAGGAAGACTTGGTAAAATCTTGTTCCCAACCTGTGACAGGAAAGAGCTTATTACTCATGGAGGGTGGTAGAAAGACCTTAATCCCTGCCGACCCCATGAAACCTGACTCTTCTATGAGGACCTAGAAACTAAAGCCTTCTTGGGCTCCAGAATACTCACAAAACACAAGGGGCATCCTATGAAGAGGATGTGCAACACATCCACTCTGGGGAGTCAGCACATGTCCTTGAGGAGCCCTAACATGTTGCAAAGCTGCTGTGTATATGCTGGATGGGCAGATCCTGGCTGCCAGACACCACTGAGGAACTCAGTCTTGAAGTTCTGGGCACAGCTCTATAGCAGGAAAGAAATACTATGGGATTATCTTCCCCACGGACGGAAGTATCACTGAACCTGCAGTAAGATACATTCTCCAAAGCACACAGGCTGCTGCTGCCTCCCTCACCTTCTCCAGGTCTGCACAGCTGCCGAAGTCCTGCTCAGAGAGGTAGCTGATGAGGGACTGCCCTTCCGAGGGTCTTCTGAACATCCCTTCCCCCGAGCTCAAGTACTGCCCAGAGTCTAGAAAAGCAAGAGACAAACGTATGAGGGAAGGACCTGCTGCTATCCCCAGTGCCCAACCAGCATCCCACAAGCAGGTGCCAGAAGCTGAGGCCACCGCAGCCGATGGAGCAGCCTGACCAGGAGTGAGCATCCCGCTGAGGCTGGCGGTACTCACCGTACTCCATGTAGAGGGAGCTGGGTGTGCTCAGTTCACTGCTCTGGGTGGAAGCAGAGACGGGCCCTCTCCCTCCACCTGGATCGCCGTGGGACTCTGGAAAGGAAGACGACACCAGGCACACATCAGTATCCCGGAGGTGCCCAGCCATCGCACAGGGTGAAATGAAAGGGGCTCAGCATCACACGGGCAGGCACAAATGGATGGGAAGCAAGGAAGGACATCTTCCTGCTCCTTGCCACAGCTGAGGGCAAGCCCAGGAGTGGACAAAACTAGAAGGGCATTTCAGGCAGGAGAGGAAAAGGGGAAAGAAGGAGAGAAGCTCATGAGAGCCACGGAGCAGTCAAGTCCTGAGCCTTCCTCTCTTCACCCCCTAGCAGAGCTGGGGGACACAACAGGCTCCAGCCAGCGCCTCTGCCAGCCCCTTCTTCCTGCTGGAGCATCTCCAAGGGAAGAGTTATCCCCTAGGGCAAAGAGTCAGGAGACAAGGGGAAACCTGAGCAGCCGAGGGACCTGTGGGGCTCCCAGTCCTGCAAAGCAGCCTGGACAAAAGCGGAAGGAGGCACCTGAAGGACATGCTCTTGCTCAACTAGAAGCCAGGGTTCCCCGCACACAACCCTGGAGCCTGGGCTGCAGTGCTCAAGGTGACCTACACAGGCTGTGGGCAGGGCTCTGCCCCATGCACACACTGCGGTGCAACTCCCTGCCGGGCTGAGCTGGCGGGGACTGCCAGGAGCTGGCCTGACCGGAGACCAACAACAGATGGTGCTCTATGGAGAGCCACAGCCCCAGGGAGCACCTGGACGGAGTGGCTGGGTGACAGAGGACTGCTGAAGGAGACTCAAAACACCCCAACTGGAGCAGGACAGGAGCATACAGGTGTGGACACGGGGCAGGCACCGGTTGACATCCCGAGCACAACAGAAGGGCAACCCCACCCTCTCAACCTCCTACTCCTTTTTGCTCCCAGCTTTGTGCCATAACCCTGATGTGGCTGGAGGCTCCTGAGTCCACCAACACCAGCATCTCCCTGCCAAGACCATGAAGTGGCAGCCACCAGGACGGGGCTTGGGACCAACCCACCCCACAGGCTGGGTGACAAAGGAGACCCGTCGGGGTGGGAGGCTCTCACAGCTAATCTCTGCAGCCTGGCAGGGCATCCTGCAGCCACCTCAACCCTGCTGAAAACCAGCACAGAAACCACCTCATGATCACCAGCCTGGGGGATGCCACATCCAACAGAGCATATTGCTGAAGGGTAAAGTGAGGCAGTGCTCGGCACCCTCTGCTGGAGCAGGACACGGGGCTGGACACATCTGCCTGAACACCCACCACCTCCAGGAAGGAGCCTTCCCAGCTACAGAGCCCTCAACACCCAGATGTGAGCTCAACAAACCCAGTGCCGCTGTTCAACGGATGCAAAAGAAAACAGCCCATTTTTTTGAGCTGCTGACTCTTTCTGCGTGTGGGGCAAAGGGATGGCAGCACCCCAGCACCTCTGCTCGGGGGAAACCTGCTCCGAGCCCAGAAGAGCATCTGGGAGTCCTGGCTGTGAGTGCAAGCACAGCTGGCTGGGATGCGGCTGAACTCAGCCAACATCAAACCTCCCCGTGCCACAGATCCACCAAATGAAAGGAAAAATAAGATGTTCAAGCCCATGCCTGCTTAGCTGCCAGTCCTTATTCACGAGGTGAGAGATGAAACCTCTCCTGGCTCCCGAGGCAGTGGGGTGGAGGGAAGGGCAGGGGACACAGCTCAAGCACTCGGTGGCCAGTGCTCCCTAACGCCATGCAGGGGAGCTGGGTGCCCTTCTGGGTCTGGTCCACTGCTCCCAAAAACCAAGCTGGGATCTTCAGTCAGGTCGCATGCGTAAACCTGACCACACTTCAAAGCACCAGCTGGGACACAGGGAAGAAAGAATTTTTTTGGTTTTCTAAATGGACGCTAATGGGTTGATGGAAATCCTGAACTTGATGCAATGACGACTAATGAAGGGCTGTTATACTGGCTCCCAAACCTGCCACTGGATCTTCTATTATAATGGTGATATCCCTGAGGCCTCCTGGGCAGACAGAGGAGGAGGAGGAGGGCAGCGTTAAGGGAGAGAAAACAGAGACAGACTGGTTACTACGCAGCAAGGACCTCCATTCTCCCATGAAGGCAGCACTGGTGGGGCAGACTCCCACAAACTGTTGGTCCCCTCACATCCCACTCCCCCCCCCCACCATGCATTCACCCACTCAAAGAGCACAGGATGACCCAGCAGGCTACCAGTAGGATGACATCCTACCAGTAGGATGAGCCCGAGCCCAAGCCCCAGCCCCGTGCCCTGCCATGGCCCCATGTCCCAGCCAGGCAAGGCCAGTGGGGAAGCAGGACGGCTAATACCACAGCATCACTGCCACGTTCTAAGTTTTTTGTAAAAGCTGACAATACCAATAACAGACTGGCCCAGGGCATTCTGGGAAGCAAGATGTGAGCCCATCACTCCAGTGCAGAGCAGGAAAGCTAAGGGCAAAGACCAAATTTCCCAACCACTCGCCCACTGTTCCCCTTGCCGACCTGATCCATTGAGTCAAAGAGGTGGCCAGAATCAGCCTCCCGGTACCAGGGACTCCCACACCCCAAAGCCATCCCAGAAAAGCTGCCCCATTACCATGCAACTTCCCCGAAGCCACATTGGTGTCAGAGTGCGAGCGCGCATGGCTCTTCTTGAGGATGCCCTGTGGAGCTGACGACTGTCCCTCCGAGAAGCTGGACCGGCGCAACAGGCTCAGGCCCCTGCTTCCACCTCCGCTTGCCCCCTGCTCCCCCAGGGATGAGACCGAGTCCAGCTTCTGGGAGCTGCTGGAGGAGAAGAGTTTGGAGCTACTGCTCTTGGTGCTGTTGGTGCTGGCGCTGCTGCATGCCCGGCCCCGGCGCCCCAAGTTCCCGATGGCCAGGTACTCCGGCCCATCGTTAACATCACTCTGTGGATCATCCTGACTCCCCGTCCAAGTGTCCTCGTTCTGGCTGGTGGTGCTGGAGCTCATGTCACTGGCCGGAGAGAAGAGGTCTTTGGGTGAGGAAACGTGGAAGCGGGTGATAGAGCCGGGCTGCTCCAGAGGGGACCTGCCCTCGCTGAAGGAGGAGGACCGGGTGGACAGGCAGCGCTCCTGGGGCTGGATGGTGCTGGAGCTGATGGAAGAGCTCGCTGGTCTCCTGTCTGGACAAGAGGCAGGAGCAGGATATCACACACCCTGGCACATGCAGACCACCCTACGCAAATAAGCTTGTGGCTTCACACAGGCATGCCAACCCACCATGGGCAAAGGCCAGGGATCTCCCTCCCATTGTGGGCAGAGATCTTCTCACACCCATCCACCACAACGAATCCAAGAGCAGAAAAAAAGGCAAAGTCTTTTCTGGGTCTATCCTGAGCTTCCCAGCCCACCCTCGTTACCTGAGAGGCCGGAGGAGGCTGGATTGTGGAGGCTGGAGAAGGACCCAAAGCAGCGCTGCTGCGTGCAGCCTGCAGCAGGGATGTACAGGGACGCAGGGAGGGCAGTCAGGCTCTGACTCTTGGTCACCAGAGGTGGACCATCACTCTTCCTGGTAAGCTGAAGAGAGGTGGCATCATTAATAAATCAGCATTTACAGGGCTACACGTCAAAGGAGCAGCAACAGAAAGGAATCGACCTGAGCACCTAATCACCAGCCAGCAAAGGATGTGGCAGCCCTGGGGGCAGGAGGATGGGGAGGGAAAAATGCCACAGTGCAGAAGGCAAGGGGCTTTTTGTTCGCAGCTACGTGGCAGGCTCTCATTGGGAAATTACCAGGCTCTCAGCGAAACCATCCAGGCAGCCCAGTGCCCCAGGCAGACGGCTCTCCTGTCCTTCAGCATCATGGTCACACGTCTCTCTTGTCCCGGCAGAAGGACCTGACGCGCACAGGGATGGCAGTGACGTGCCGGCCAGCTGAAAGAACACAGCCCCCATTTAACGAAGCCTCATTAATTGCCTTCCTCTGGGGGAGCTCTGTGCAAAGAAAGCAGCCACTGTTCCCTCCTCTGGGGAGGGGGCAGCTGGCACAGGGCTGCACGGGGGGGTCACTGGTGTCACCAGCAGGAGTGGGCACCCAGGTGTCCTGGGGTGCTGCTCGTCCCCTCTGAGGGTGGCTGTCCCTCACGACCAGGCAGCTCTGCTTTCTGGCCCTGAAGCCTGGGACTGTTGGAGAGGGCTTTAGAGGTGCCACTTACAAGGAATCGGTCCTCAGGTCCTCATACTCAAATCCTCGATGCCAGCCAGAAGCAAGATACCTCACTACAGGCACCACACAGCCATCTCCCCCACCCCAACCCCTGCCAGGCTCGCACAGGCAGCGCAGGGACCAGTTCACCGCTCTCCTCCCCTCTTGGAGCTCCTTTTGCTACTTCCAAGTCCAGCCCCTTATCCAAGAGCTCCATGTGCCCTGAATGAGACTTTGCACAAGCAGCCACAGCCAGCCGGCATTTGGGGAGAGCCAGATGGAAAAGCCGGAACCTCAACTCACCATGGAGGTGTCGATCTGAGCCAGAAGCCTGGGGTTGTTCTGCTCGACAGCCTCCAGGCACTGCAGCATGGCCGTGACGTGGGCGTCACTGAGAAGGAAGGCAGTGTCTGGGGAGAGAAAACTGCTGCTTGGGGGCGTCCCTCTCACTCGCATGGTTTGACAGCACTGGTTGCTCACACGCAAACCCCCTTTTCTGCCGTCCCCCGTCACTCCCATGCGGCTTGGGAACGCCACCAGCTAGATATCTTCCTAATAAGAAGGAAAAGGCCCGTTTCTCTTTACCTGCGTAGAATTTCCTGATGTACTGCCGGTTCCCCAGGAGCGGTCTCAGCTGCGCTGACAGGCAGTGGCACTGCAGGCTGTGCTGCAGCCACAGCTGCGCGATGGCCTGGTCCCCCGGGCCCTCTGGGTCAGGCTGGCCACTCTCCTGCAGGCTGATGAACTGGAAAGGGACACCAGGCACAGGTTAAGGCATGCAGAGGCAAGCCGGGGAGCAGGGGTTGTTCCACCGCACGGCTTTGGTTTCCCCCCAATAACAGCAGCTTTCCAGCGCCGGTCACCATCAGCAGGAAGGAGGACAAGTCCCAGCAGCCCCCCAGCCACCAGGGAGGCAAAAGCACCGGGGAGGAACAACGCTTCAAAGGTCAGCCAGCGACCAAAGTCCCCTGACAGCCACCAGCACTATGAATTTCTCCTGCATGCTCTCCCACCCATGTGCCTCGCCACTGACCTGGAAGGACCCCACACTCCCAAATCCAACCCGACCCCGGTGGTGACAGTCATGTTCCTGCTGACACATCAACTGGGGAAGCTAAACACCTGAGCTGCTGCACCTTGAAGAGCTGGACTGGAGTCACATCCCACATCCCCCCAGCAGCAGGGTGGACATAAGGACCACCAGTGGTCAGGCCCTTGCGCCCAGCCGCGGCATTAACTGGGGAAGCTAAACACCTGAGCTGCTGCACCTTGAAGAGCTGGACTGGAGTCACATCCCACATCCCCCCAGCAGCAGGGTGGACATAGGGACCACCAGTCATCAGGCCCTTGCGCCCAGCCGCGGTGGGGGCCGCAGACATTGGCATGGGGCAGCCGAGGGCCAAGAGCATCCCCATGCACCAGCAGTCGGCAGAAGCCAGGAACGGGAGAACCAAATGCATGGTCAAGGCACAACCCAGAAACGGGACAGCCCAGACTTTGAGAGATTTGCACAGAGGCATGAATCACCCCTGCACACACACAAGCGCTGCTTGTGTCCGTTCCCTTGGTGATGCCTGCTGCAGCCGGACGAGCCGAGCTGGAGACTGGCCTGGGAGAAATAAGCAGCTGATTGTCTCAACCCAAGCCACACCGAGTTCCCGGGACGTGGCTTGTACACAAACATGTGGCTGCTTCAGCCTCCACAATCCGTGGAGCCACTTTACCCACAGCAGGCCAACAGCCAAGGCGTCGCTATCCCACTGATGAGGCTCACAGCCCAGCTGCCCTCTCTTCCCTCCCCGCTGGGCACACAAGGCCACCCCACCAGAACCCACCTTCTCCAGGTGATGAGCAGAGCCGGGACTCAGCCAGCGAATGTCCTTCACAAACTGCCAGTAGTCCTTCTGTCTGCAGCACACCTGCCCGGGACAGGCGGGGTTAGATACCACCACCCAATTCCCAGTTAAATGACAACATCCCCCATTAGCCCCATGCTACCATGAGCAGAGAGCCTCTAACCCTGGCAAGGTGGGCCAGAAAATAGACAGAGCAGCACCGCTTTACAAAGGAGAAACAACGCGAGCATATAACACAGTTTTGTAGATCGAGGGATCAAGTAAAAGAACACTGGCTTGATGTAGATAAGTTGTCTCCTGCCCCTCCCATGGTGACCTCTCAGTTGTGGCCAGCCCACAAGTGACCAGACAACAGATCCCCCGAGTTTCTCTTCTTCCACCAGGTAAGATCCCAGTCCCTCATACTGTGGAGACAGGAGAGGTCTTGGGCCAGGGATGGGACGTGGCACCGAAGGGCTCACATCCCTGCTGCAGTGCAACAAGGATCCTAAAGGCCAACCGCAGGTCTGCCAAGTTCAAGGTTGACCAAGTTCCCACATCACCACTCCCCTTCCTGCCAGAGCGGGACCTGGAGGAGAGTCCTGATGCCTCAGCACTGCAGAGTCAGACCTCAGCGAGAGGACACGAAGGGCAACATGGAAACACATCCCAGCAAAACCAGCAACCATTCCTGTCTTCTGATGCAAGCCGCCACTGAGGACACCAGCACGGCTGAGCACCCCAGGTAAGAAATTTGGCGTTGCATTTCTATCAGCTCTTTGCTGCTGTTTGCCTCAGCTTTATTCAGACAATGAGTTATTTTGTTCTTAGTTATTCTTCCCGTTAAAGAGGAACTGCAGCAGAGCTGCTGTTTTCCTCACCACCCTATTGGGTGTAAACACAGGCCCAAAATGTCTCTCTTCACCAAAAGGCTGATTATTTTTTCTTCCATCTCTATTTCCTCTTTCACAAGCGTCAGAGGAATGGGTTCTGTTTTGTGGTTTATTTGTTTGAGGAGGGGTTGGTTTGGTTTTTTAAGACTAGAGAACTAACATGGCAATTTTAGTCCTCTAGACTGAACTGGGGTTTTCTGGACAAATAAATAAAATTCACTCAAAAGTTTAAAAACCTCTTACCCTAGTTCTCTTAACATGTACATAAGGATTTTTTCATCTTTTTTTTATTTATTCTCAGTTGTAGGAAAAAAGTTGGTAAGAAAATAGTAAGTAAAAGGAAGTGTTTCATTGGATCAACTATTAGAAAACTGCTGTTAGGAAGCTGTATTTTTACAGGCCTCCCTTTGCAGCTCTCATAACTTGATTGGTGTCACACATGCTCAAGCAGGGGAGACACCTCTACGTAAAAGAGCTGCCTTTGCCTATAGTAAAGGCATCAAGGAAGGCAACACACCATCCTGCTTTGCAGGTCTGGCATGAACTGTTACCAATAGACACAAATATAAATAATTTCAATCTCACTTCCTGAAGCCTATTAACAGCATGTCTATCAGAAGGGAGCACTGCACTCCTCACATGTAAAAGGTAACTTCTCTCTCTGTGGATCTCCCAAAGGTCCCTGGCCTGCACCACTGGGGACTAACGGGAACAGAGCAGCACCATAACAAGTGCTGACTGCAGCTAATACATCCAGGGATCAAAGCACCCTGCTGGGCTGAGCTGCCACCCTGGCTCTTCCTGAAGACTTATTAGCTCGGGTGCAGCATTGCATAGGTACGGCTTTCCTGCTCCTGGACCAAGCTGGCCCGTGCAAGCTGCCTGGGGTTCCTCTGCATTGCTCGCTTCTCTGCATCGCTCTCTGGGTGGCAGAGCCACCGATGGGAAGCCTGCCCCCAGGCATGCCCTGCAGACTTGCTTCAACTTTCCATTGTAAATTAATTGTGGTGGTAACTGCAAGCTGAAAGGGAGATCTTCAGGCCTCTGCACACAAGTGGGAAGGAGAAATTCTTCCAGGCAGCCATGGAAGGAGGAATGTCTGGGTGAACAACTGCAAGGCATGAAGAAAGCCTGGAAAGAGAGATCCCATTCACACAGAGCGCGGATTTGGCTGCCAGTTCCTGTTATTAACACAGCTAACCAGAAACAGTAAAGATGCGAGGTTTCTCTTGCCAGGCCTCGCTGGGGAGTTGTCCAAGTGCAGACGATATGGGGCTGACTTGTTGCAAATGCAGCTTTATTGCTTGGCTGCAGCAGAAAGAAAGGAGAGAGGGGCTGGCCTCAGTGTGGGGGGCACAGCTACTTAGAAAAACCACGTCGAAGGTGGATGGGATAGAAAGAACATGCACCCAGTTCCCTCTGACAACCACAGCACTTGCCAGGCGAGCTCAGTCCCTGCTTCGATCATTTCCCACACTGCTACAAGCATTGTACCCACTTCGTGCTACGAGCACTGAAGCAAGCTGCAGGCAGACAGGACTGTCCCACCTGCTCATGATAGGCACCAAACTTGCTGCAGACAGACAGCAGTGCTGGCAGGACAGAGCCCTACCTTGTCGTGGATGAGCCCGTGGTAGAGGATGCTGTGCATGTCTCTGCAGAGCCGTTCCAAGCCGCCATACTTGGACCAGACGTTCGGGTTGCTGGTGGACACCAAGCCTTCCACTGTGGTCTTCAGGTTGCCTAGCAGCTTCCAATGCTCCTTCCTGCAAAGGAACACAGCAAGTTGCATCAGATGTACAGCAAGAGGAGCTTCACAACAGGACCATGGTATTGCACTCTCTCCAAGGAGACTCTGGTCAGGCTGAAACCTTCAGTGGTCCAGAAGCTAGCAAAGGTGAGCTAAAGGACTTTAAACCTCCCTGTGGTCTCCAATGCATGGTTTGTGGATAAGAGGCCCTACTGTAATGATGCTTGTGATGACTGGTAGCCACCAGCAATGTGACTCAGGAGACAGCCAGAACAAAGACTGATGGCTCCTGCAATATACCACTTGCTTAGTACAGGCCAACAAAGCTGGAGGACATCTTTCCAGCCAGCCTCTTGCTTGCTTCACTCACACGCTCTATCAGAGACTGTTCAGAGCAGCAGCACGTCAGGAGTACAGCACCTGTAAGGCAATGGCACAATGTCCACCACATCTAGCAGACACTGGCCACGCTGCACCCGCATTTAGAGAGAGCGGCACTTCCCGAGCAATGCGCACCACATCGAGCACTCCAGCACCATCAGGATGCAGAAGCGCTCCACTCCGAGTTGGGTAACGCTTCATCTGCATCTCCACCTGTACAGCTGCTCTCTGGCCCCAGAGCTGCTGTAGGCACAAGTTGACTTTCTTGCAAAAGCGTTCATCACGTTCTGGGCAGAGATTAGCAAACTGCAAACTGCAGTTGTAATCTAGAGCTTGCACAGCATTTCTCATCGATATCAACCCCCTTGGCTGCCCTGCCTACAGCAAGGAATCTGTATTACCGTTATCTGCCATAAAGCAGGAGTGACGGTGCAGAGAGGTAATGTCATTTGCCTATGCAAAAGCAACTTTGGGGAAGGAAGCTCTGGATGACTGAGATCCCCCCTCAAGCCGTTTGACAGTGTTGCCAGAGGAACAGCAGCTGTCAGAAACATGTATTCAGATAGGAGCTACTCTCTCAGAAGCAACAGGAATGTTGCAAGCTATATTTGGGGGTGTAAATGCCAAAAAACCATGCTTCTGCAGGGTTTGTAACAAAAGCACTGGGGGTGACAGCTTAGAATGAAGTCCAACCTTCCAACTGGCAAGAAACAAGCCAGTGTTTCAGCTGTTAATCCCTCTCACTGCCCAAAACAAACCAGATTTCCAAAGCAAAAGAAAAAAAAGGGAAAATAAATAACATTATTTAAAACCACTCTCATTTTCATCTTTGTGGATGAAAGTGCGAGCTGCACACCTCTTGTGCACAGAGAAGGACACTAAAAAGTAACATGATCCTGATATTTAAAACCAAGCTTTTCTCGTCAATATTCTCTTTTTGCAACTCGTTTGTTATTGCAAAACTGATTAAGTGAACAAGCAGATCATCAAATATTGGCTCTACTTCAAGCTCCCCATCCACTCCCTTTGCAAGGTCTCTGCAGCGAAACCTCACCACTTTCAGTGCTCACCTAAGCTTAAACCATGCAGAAGCCAACCCATTCCACCAGCAAAGCCTGTCACCCTGACAGCACAGGAGCTCTAAGACAGAGCTGCAATGCATAAAAAAGTATGTATAAGTTTATGATGTACTTAGACTAACAAGCACGGTCAGGGCTTGTCTCAGAAGAGACTGAAGAAGAAAGCATGGATATAAATCAAAAGCAGCTTCCTGAAGGCGATCCGACTCAGGGAGACACAGAAAACCGATCCAGCAATGCCGGCCCCTGGTCAAAGAGCATCTGCAGCCACTGAGCTCAATAGTTCACCAGCTCCTCCCCAAGATATTTCTAACGCTCAGAGTTAGGAAATGCAAGTGAAAGCTCAGCCACGCTGCTGATCTTCCAAGTCAGTGAGTCAGGGAAACTCCCTGACTTTATGTTATTTCATGCCGTAAAAAGCAGGCGATGCACACAAGGATGCGGGGTTAGGACATGCAGAGCTGTGCCTTACCAAATGACCCGTCTCGTTAAAGGAGGAGTTGTGCATCTCCCCAGAGGTAGGAAACCAGGATCCAACAGACTGGGGTCACAGCTCCCTCCTAGCACAGGGAGACTAAGGTTAAGCAATCCTCAAAGAAAATAACTTCAAAATGTTAAAACATTGAACTCAGAAGCACATAGGGAACAAGGAGTGCAACGAAAGCACCTTTGCAGAGGTGCCTCAGAAGCTACCAAAAGTGAATTAAATCCCTGTAAGACCCATGGGACTTGTTCGCCCAAAGCAGTTCACAAGTTGGATACACAAGACCCTACTGATACCCAAAACCCAGCTGTTTCTGGGCTGGAACATGGTGCATGCTGAAAAGCATACAGTGACACAAGGTTGAAGAAACAAAGACCCATATAGTTGGCTGCAGGTGGCAGGGACATTGAGAGACAGCACAGCTAACCACATTTCAGCTTGAACTGGACTCGCGGGTTAACCCTGAATTAGCAGCAGGGTTTGCTCCCCTCCCATTGACAGAGCCTGAGCCTGGGCTGCCAGGAGGGATGGCAAAAGCCTGGGTCCCAGTTGCCCTCAAGTTCCCCGTTTCAGCAGGTGTTCAGAGCAATATTGAGAAATCTGCTTGTTTTTTCCTGAATAAAGAGAATTTTCCTTTGCTAGTGCTAAAGCGAGCCTGACATGGGGTAAGACCAATTCATATCACATCATGAAAACACCCCAACTTACAGGAAGGACAAAGTGAGCAACACACCCTAGAGAGGTCACAGTACATGAGCAGAGCTTCCCCTGCAAGAACCACACGTGCTTCTGCTCTCCTGCTCTAGCAGAGCCTGGTCCCCCAGCCAGAAGAGCCGTGGGTGTTTGCAGGGGCCCTCGCTGGTGCAGCACCAGTGGGACCTCAGCCACACCCCTTTCCTTCCTTAAAGACGACCTCTGATCCAGCCTCCAATTTTAGCCACCAGCTCCATAAACTTGGCGCTGGGTTTCCTTGCTTTACTACCACAAACTCTATCTTCAGGTACAGGAACATCAACCCGCCGTCAGGAACTGTTCCAAATATAACTGAACCTTTTGCACTGGAGTGATAAAAGACAGAATCCAGCCTTGGAGCAAGAAATGGCTTAATGCCGCTGCTGATGACAACGTCAGGGAAATGCTGCTTGCTCGCCCAAGGCTTTCTCAGCCCCTCCATGGCAGCAAGGGTAGGAACCTCTCTTGGCCCAGGTCAGCAAAGGTGACTCACAGCAGAGGCAGGGAGCCATGCTGCTGACTCAGGTGAGCTCCATTTAAAATAAAACTAATCCCTAGTTACTTTCCAAAACAGAATCACACAGGTAGCTAGTATTAAAAAAAAAAATGAAGCTTGTCTTTCTCGCAAACAACATCTGCTGTGTGTCTGCCTGTGCTCTGCAGGAGGCATCTAGCAATGGCCACTTGAACTGTCCTCTACCTGGAGGAGTCTCTCAATCCTTCTTAGCACACTAAAGAGGTCGGGCTGAGGATGCCGAGGTCATGGAGGGACTTCCGACAGATCTCCAAGGACATTCCCGTGCCGGCTGCCAGTTCCTCCCGCAGATCCCGAAGGCGCCGCGTAACCCGCCGCTGCGCACAGCCTGCTCCTGCCTCGCCGTCCCTGGGTCTCCCAGACAACCAGCAGCCCCTTTCCTCGGGCTTCCCCGCCTGCTTCTCCAGCAGGCTTGGCACTGCTGGGAAATGGGATTAAAAGAAAGGCAGGCTTCGTGCAATTCTTCTGCAGCCACAGGGAGCGGCTGAAGAGGCAGAGGAAGCCAGGAGAGCTCTGCCAGCCTGGCAGGTCAGCCCTGCAGCGTCCAGGCAGGGAGCGCCGAGCAGGCTGGATGGGAAACTGAAATGCAGGGCTGCTCACACTGGTGCTAAAAGCTTGCACCGGTATAAAACTGGGGGCACAACCACAAAAGGCTCCCACAGCAAATGGAGCCCAGACCTGCTGCTCACCAGAGCACTCTTGCTCTGCACTGGCAAAGGACGAGGGAAGAAAATAGGGATTAAAGGTGGTTTTTAGCCTTCTCCCAGCATGGCAAATAGTTTTGCCTGCTCATCCTGGCGAAGCCTCCCACAGGCAGATGACCACAACCTGTGGACCAGTGATAGTGTCCATCGGGCTTCAATCTGCGCAGGACCTGCTGCCACAAGCAAGTAGGCAGCCAGAGGCAGCGACACGCAGAGCAAACCCCCACGCAACCCACCTCCCCGGGACCAGCTGCTCACCTTCCTCCATCGCTCCCAGCACTGGTTCCCCCTAGGGACCCTCTCCTCTGGCCCTGCCATCCCCGGGCCTCGCTGGCGCCAGAGCCAAAGGCAGCAGCTCTTTGCTAACCCACCCAGCTGACCAACGGCCCCTCTGCTCCCCCCGGGGCTGCTGCGTCCCTCACATCACCCGCCCGCCACTCCAAGGCACCGAGAGCCCTGCTCTCTGCCCGGCAGAACGAAGGCACTAACCTTCCTGCCGTGCCTCGATGGACATTGGCATTACAACCCCTGCTCCCCGATGCATTTCAGATCTGCTGCTCAGGAGGAGAGACAGCAAAACCCAGCACGAGATCCTATTTTCTTCTCCTGTCCCAGCAGAAGAATGGACTTCACCAAAATAACTTTTGCTTCTGCATTTCCCATGATCCATGGGAAGATGGATCCAGTGACCTCTATCCTATCGTTACCAGTCACAGCCACAATCTATAGTGAAATGGCACCTCCCCGGGAATTAAAATGCTAAACCATTTGCACAAAGGACAACAAGGCTGTGCAAGGCCCATGCCAGGATCTTCCCCAGTGCACCAGTGACAGCCAGGAGAATAAGCAGGCCCCCTTGTGTGCCAGCACTGGAGGGGACAAGATGTCCTCCTCGTCCCTGGGGGAGTGCTGGGGGTGGCACCACGTTCAGCCCTATTAGTCACACGATGGTAGAGTCTGGTAGTGCAGGACCTGCACTTGCAAAGGCAAGAAAATGCACAAAGATGATTCCGGAAAGAAAAAGAAGTGAATACAATCAACTCCTTTTACCTTTCTGAACCTGCTGGGACTGAAGCATTAGCTAAAGATGGAGAATAGCTCAAACTGTGCAAAACAAAAGGCACCCCAAACCTGCACTGCAGCTTTAAAAGCACCAGTAGCATTTTCCTGGCTGATATTGCTAGCAGGAATAGAGCAGCTAGCTGAGCCCCTCAGATAAGGAATGCTTCTCTCCCATATCAAGTTTCAGCTGCTCCCTCCTCCCCAGCCAACACTCCCATTTCAATCCAACATCCACCCTGCGCTTGTGAGCACCAGGGCAAAACCGAAGCACAAAGCAAAGGCTGAAGACATGCAAAAACCTGAAGCAAATAGGACTTATCATCAAAACACCTCCAGGGAACAACCTCTGCTGCTTTTATAAATGCTAACAAGAAAAACCATGCCTAAAGCATAAAATAAGACCATGCAGATGAAGCCACCACAGCGCGGCCATTCTCACTGCCAGCCACATGCAGGCGCAGGGCCTCGCCTTCAGAAATAAAGAGAAGCCGAAGATTTCTTTTCATCACCTAGAAGGGGCGATGCAGCCGGCTGCCAGGAGGGTAAGGAGACGTGATCCAAAAGCAGCAAGCTGCAGAGCCACCAGAACGGCAGCGCGGCGTCCGGGCGGGATGGTTTCGCCCACAAGCACAAGGCGTGCGAAGCAGAGGCTCGGCAGGGGCTGTCTTGGAGTCCCCCCCCGCCGGAGTGGAGACAGAGCATCAGGTATTGAGGGCACACGCGTGTGCAGCCGCCCCTGCCCCTCCAAGACGCTTGCCCGGGGCCCGGGGCAGTGGAGACAGAGCATCAGGTACTGAGGGCACACACGTCTGCAGCCGCCACTGCCCCTCCAGCGGCCAAGACGCTTGCCCGGGGCAGGGAGCAGAGCGGTGTGCTGGCCCCGGGCGCGTGAAGGCGGCCACACGCTGCTCTAACAGCCCAGCTCACCCCGTGCTTCCTCCCCACGAGGGACCGAACCGGGGGCAGCCGGCACGCTCTGCAAGTGCCGATCCCCACCCGGCACGAGGAGGGGGGGGAGGGTTGCTTCCTCCCGGATCACTCCCAGGTACCCCCGCATCCGTGCCCTGGTGCTGCGTGTGCACACACGCTCCCACACACGCCCACGCAGCACATGAGCTCCCGGGGAGCATGCCGGACACCCCCGCGCATCCCTAGCGCTTCCCAGGCACCGAGCGCACACCAGCACTGCCGCCACCCGTGTTCTTGCACGCCCATCTCGTGCTCCCTGCCGTGTCCTAGGTAACTTACACGCACTGGCCGTTACCCCACGCGTGCACCCCCTGTGCACACACAAGACCCCGCCCCCACGCGTGTCTCGCCCCTGGCGCCAGCACACACAGCGTGCCCCTCAGCGCACACACGCTCCCCCACGCCCCCGGCACAGACACACAGGCAGAGCAGCGTGCCCTACCCACCA